TAAAAAAATGTCTAGGGAATTTTTACCCCCTACAGAATCCTTATATCCGCCCCTGGTCGCCCAGCTTAATTGGGACGTACAAGCGTTGTATATATAATTGCAATTGTGCAGGAACTTGCACCGATCCATCAATAATTCAAGTGGCATATTAGGGCAAATTATGCTCAATATGTATAAAGATATAATGATTGCAGATTTCCCTTCAATTTTTGTCATTTATCTTTCAATTATTTATGAAATTTTGGAAAACAGTAATTAAAATATTTTTTCCAACTGTTTAAAAAAAATGTTATAAAAGATAACACGTCCCATATAAACTAATATTCGATTTCCGGCGTTTTTTAGTCGCTGACCATGTCATATGTGCAATAGCAGGAGGGAGGGAGTCCAGAGTTCCTTAAATAGTAATCACCGCCACCCAAATCTGTTTTGAGGCAAGCACGCTCCTCAATTGGTAATCTCCACCACCTCAAATAGTAATACATAACCTGACCTAACCCGACCCTGGGGGACTGGTCATGTTCTGACCAGTTATGTATCTTAATGTTACCCAACCAATCTTGACCAAATCCGTGCTAAGTGGACTGGTCAGGTTAGACCAGTTGAGACCAGTTAGGGAACCCGACCTAACACAACCTAGCCTGACCTAACTCGACCTATGAGGGACTGGTCATGTTCCGATCTGTAAGTTATTTTTACGTAACCCAACCTAACCAAACCTAACACAACCTAAGGGGACTGGTCATGTTCTGACCAGTTTATTAATTTGACGTAATCCCAATCTAATTCCCGACCTTTTGCAACCGCGGTCATGCCACGTCACTAGTTGCTTGGGTATACATCATAGGCTTAAATGCAGAAATTAACCATAAAAGAATTAAACACTTAAAAAATCCCTTTACTTACCTCTAAACACTTAAACTCTACATTAAAATATAAAGATAAAAATCAAAACTGAATAATTATTTATTATTTTATAATTGTTTATATAAATACTTTATTACTTTGACCTAACTTTAGAAATTTAAAACATACATTTACAAAAAATATCATAGACATATATTTTTGTTTTCAGAGTTTTTTCTTACTTTTTAGTTTTTGTTTGTGATTTATTTATTTTTTGAACAGCATGGGCGGGCATTTTTGTAAAAAGACAATGGCTGCCAAACCCAAGCTCTATGGATTTACAGAGTATCTTTGATTCCTCCATGTCCATGACATGGTTAATTTCTTCCACAGCCCGCTGGTAGTCCTTGTAGGCATAAAAAGAACGTTTGATGTTTGATTGTGCCTCCTTATTCAGTTTTTCCAGGCGTTGAACATTGCAAGCAAACCTTTCTTTTTGGTCATCAGCATCTTCCAAGAGTTTATGCTCCTCTGCAACTATTTTACTCAGTTCACTGTTGACTTGATTAAACTCCAGGGACAGTTCTTCAAGTTTTTCCATAGTTCTCATTGTCACCTCAGTCACATGATCTGTCTCAGACTCAGGACATTCAGAGCTGTTGCTTCCGGTTGAACCAGCTGAACTCATATCCGACTCTATGCCAGATGGTCTCCGGCTTTTTACATCCCTGTGAATCAGACTTTTATCAAGACTTTTTCTGTCATTGAGGAAAAACGATTCTTTCTTTAAACTTCTTGGAGGTTTAAAGTCCTCATCTTCATCTGAACTAAAGCACTGCCTATAGGCAACCAGGCTTTGGGGGAAACTATAATGCGTGGAATGGACACTCTTGCTGCGACCTTCAGATACAGGGGCTGAATAGGAGCTTGACCGATTCCTTATATTCTTCTTGTTTGCTAGTTTTATCAGCGGGGATCTATAAAATAAACACAAATTAAAAATAAGTCTTAGATCATCATTTTTTAATACCTATATAACAATTAAGACTTTCTTTTTCACCCAGAAAAGTTCAGCAAAAAATTTATTTAGATCCAAATGTTTTAGCCATTTTAATTCTCTTTTCTTTGGAATATCGACAAACAGGCAGACATGAGAAATATGTAAAATGTAGATTGTACTTAGATAAAGAGTTATGGATATAAGAGAATGTAGATGTCAGAATATTAATTTCAAAATTTGAATTACCTTTGAGCATATTTGCGAAGGAAGAGATATTCTGCTTGACTCTCCTGCATGGTATATGAACAGTAACTAAATTATCAATCAGTTCTCCATCTTTTATACTATTTTGCTCGTCTAAGAGTAATATTTAAGTGCTAGAGCATCAGAGAAGAATAGAATGAAGAGAGAAGAAGTTTGTTCCAAGAAAACTGAATAATTGATTTGATTGGATTTCAATTATAAACACGAGCTTGAACACGTACATACGGGGGGGGGGAGGAGGCTCATTTAATAGTACACCTTCATGAATCAGGTTCATAGCCAGGGGTTGAAAGGAAACTGGTTTACCCTTTCTTCTGAAAGGAGGGTGCATCATTTAAAACAAATTGTTTTTGAATAATCAAAATATTAGCAATTAAAATGGAAGATGGTTGCGAAGTGCCCTTTAAGCCTAGCAATCCATATTCCTCAAGGTGTCCCTGAAATATACTATTCTATACATACAAAATTAAAATAATTAAAATATATTCCTCTATATTCATCCTTGAAATATGTTTCTCTGTAATCATACTTGAAATATATTCCTCTATATTAATCTTTGAAATATATTTCTCTGTAATCATAATTAAAATATATTCCTATATATTCATCCTTGAAATATGATTGTATGTAATCATACTTGAAATATATTCCTCTATATTCATCCTTGAAATTTAGTCCTCTGTAATTATACTTGAAATATATTATTCAAATTCATCCTTGAAATTAATTCCTTCTTGAAATACATTACTTTACTTATTTCCTGGAAAGATTTAATTTTTAGCCATTCCAGACATACATCTTCTTAATATATCCTGCTGTTCCTGTATTTTCATCCTTGAACTGCATGTTCACACTAAATGTGAATTCCGTGCGGACTGGGAAACAGTGTAACATGTGGTCAAATGGAGTGATTTTAATGAAACTTTCCTAAAATACCACTCCTTCAAACCCTTTTCCCAAGGAGTATGAAATAGAAGGGAGATACAACTGACGCAGCCCGCCCTGCCATATGATTATACATGCTCTGTAGACAGTACTCCATTTATAAAAGAAATATTCAGAATAGGTAATTGTATACGCGGTAATTGTACATCAGACAAATATTTCTTATTCAAATGGAGTACTTTCCTATTTCATGCTTTTTGCCTTATCTTCATCTCCACTATCCTCTATACCTTACCATCTAACCTTCTCTCAAGCGACGAAATCAGACTCAATGACATTTCTCTGTTGGATTCGTTGGATCCTACAACAAAATTCTTTGAAAGCGGGTCACTTGATTATCCTTCATTGAATAGCAACCCTACTTTAGGAAAGTAAAAATGTGCAGTTCAGAGCAGGGAAGCTATTGCTTCCTCGCTGCAAATAGAAACTATAGGCAGAGTGGGATTCATGTTGTGTGCAATGCCCCGGAAAATTCCAAAACAGAGAGAGGTGGATTTGTGGCGGATATGAATATCGTCTTCCTGAATATTCTAGAGAAATCCAAGGAGGAGTTTCCAGATCAGCTGATATAAAATCATGTGTTATATATTCAATTATTTTACTAGTTAAGTTAAGTTTTTAAATAAAGTTAATCGTTGAGTAACTCTTTTCCTTTAAACTTATAGCACGCCAAAGATTGAATTTTGTAGATCCAGAAAAATAATATCTGTGGGATGCCTGCGTATAGAGACTGGCAGCTGGTGGGGTCTTAAATGTAAGACATGTGGCCGCAGCGCTCGGCCTCCTAGCCTGTCCTAGCCGCAGCGCTCGGCCCAGAAAGTGTCAAAACTTAACCTAACCTGTGGCCTCAACAAAATTCAATCCCCCTCTCTCTGTTTTGGAATTTTCCGGGGCATTGCACACAACATGAATCCCACTCTTCCTAGAAACTAACTTGAAGTGCATAGTAGTGACCTAGCACATACAAGTATACAGAATGGGAAATCAGAGGGGGAAATCTATAAAAAGAAAGGGTGATCGTGCACTGTCTCATAATGGCGCAAAGACTGGAACTTGTAAATATTCTTTTAAAAGCAACGTAATAAATAGACAAGCAAGAGAGGCAAGAAAAGGAGAAACTGCAGACTTGCAGATGGAGAAAGAAGAAAAAAGATGAACATTCGAAATTATTAACTATGCCTCGAACGATTTTATTTTACAAAAATTGTAAAAAATTAATTAAAAAACATTGTTAAAAAAGTTATTACTCTTCATAAGTTCTTAAATCATGTTCCATTATATTCATCCTTGAACAATAAACCTCTATGTTCGTCCTTGAACCATAAACCTCTATATAAATCCTTGAACCATTAACTTATATATTCATCCTTGAACCATAAACCTGTATATTCGTCCTTGAACCATAAACCTCTATATTCATCCTTGAACCATTAACTTATATATTCATCATTGAACCATAAACCTCTATATTTATCATTAAACCATAAACCTCTATATTCATTTTTGAACCATAAACCTCTTTATTCATTCTTGAACCATAAACCTCTTTATTCATCCTTGATCCATAAACCTCTTTATTCATGCTTGAACCATTAACTTCTATGTACATCCTTGAACCATAAACCTCTATATTCATCCTTGAACCATAAACCTCTACATTCATCCTTGAACTATATACTTATATATTCATCTTTGAAACATAAACATCTATATTCATCCTTGAACCATAAACCTCTATATTCATCCTTGAACCGTAAACCTCTATATTCATCATTGAACCATAAACCTCTATATTCATTCTTGAACCATAAACCTCTTTATTCATCCTTGAACTATATACCTCTACATTCATCCTTGAACTATATACTTATATATACATCATTGAACCATTAACCTCTATATTCATCCTTGAACCATAAACCTCTATATTCCTCCTTGAACCGTAAACCTCTGTATTCATCATTGAACCATAAACCTCTATATCCATCCTTGAACCATAAACCTCTATATTCATCATTGAACCATAAACCTCTATATTAGTCCTTTAACTATATACTTATATATTCATCATTGAACCATTAACCTCTATATTAATCCTTGAACCATTAACCTCTATATTCATCCTTGAACCATTAACTTCTATATTCATCCTTGAACCATAAACCTCTATATTCATCCTTGAACCGTAAACCTCTATATTCATCATTGAACCATAAACCTCTATATCCATCCTTGAACCATAAACCTCTATATTAGTCCTTTAACTATATACTTATATATTCATCATTGAACCATTAACCTCTATATTCATCGTTGAATAATTAACCTCTATATTCATCCTTGAACTATATACCTCTATATTCATCCTTGAACCATAAACCTCTATATTCATCCTTGATCCATAAACCTCTATATTCATGCTTGAACCATTAACTTCTATGTACATCCTTGAACCATAAACCTCTATATTCATCCTTGAACCATAAACCTCTACATTCATCCTTGAACTACATACTTATATATTCATCTTTGAAACATAAACATCTATATTCATCATTGAACCATTAACCTCTATATTCATCCTTGAACCATANCTTTAGCCTTGAGAATTGAGAAAGATAAAAATATTCTTTTTAAAACTAACTATAGTATAATAAAATTTCTACAATAACTCTATTGGTTTTCTAATTCCTGTGATACTGATTTTCGCCATTCTTTCTTTCTTTTCATTCTGCAGGGGGTGGGGGCGCGCCCCCCCTCTCAGGTGCTAGGGGAGGGCGCGCGCCCGGCCCCCCCCCCCTAGTTGCGCCTCTGAACTTCTATATTCATCCTTGAACGAACCTCTTCATTAACCTATCTTCCTTGTGTAAATCCTTATGTACTAAGTATTCCTTCTCTCCTGTATATATTTTAGTACTAGGCTTTTATTTCATCTGTGAACATTTACTCTTTATATACAGGGTGTCTCTGAAAAATGTGTGATCAGGCTTTATGGCCTACAAAATATCGTTAAAATGTGCGTACAAGTGCTTCTAGTATGGTACAATACCCACAAATGAGGGGGGGGAGGGGGTCGATGAGCTATTTTTCACTATGCCGTTTTAACCTTTAAACGCGGGGCACTATTATTCGAAAAAGTGCTTGGTCTCATTTTCAAAGATTAAAAAAAATCAAAATATAATTTTATATTTACGTTTTATACGATAGAATAGAATAAACACATTTTCAATGATATAATTGAGCAGTTTTAAAACGACGAAAAAAGATTTTAAATCTGTTTGAAAATTCTGTTTAGAAAAGGCACGACTACATTTTGAAAGCTAAAACGAAACATTAGAGTAAAATGTTTCAACAACGACCCCCCAATTTATGTACATTGCACCTGCTAGTATATTGTAATAGAATATAACGGCTATTCATATCTTCGGAAATGGTACCGAGTACATTTTCGAATTATATGCCTAATTTTGAAGGTTAAACGGCATTTAGGAGTACAACTTTCATAAAAAGAACACCCTATTGGTGGGTATTGTACCTACTAGAAGCACTTAAACACAAAACAAATGTTTAGAAGGCTAAAAAGCCTCAACACACCTTCTTCAGAGACAGAAAACGTTTGCAGATAAAAAATTGCGGTTTTTTTTAAATTTAATGGAAATCAAATTTTGTTTGAGGTAAATTTTTATTTTTTTTTTACTATAACCCTTCCCTAGGGACATTTTAAAGCCCCACACAAAATTTAGGCCCGATCAGTTTAGCCGTTATGACATTTATTGGATACAAACGGACAAACGGACTAACAGACAACCTAAATCTGTTCATGTTTTTCAAGTCGTTCATTCGCAGCAAATATATTACGTAGTGCACAGGACTAGAAGTTTTTTTAAGACGAATTTTTCAAAGTTTTTCACATCTTCTTTCTCATCAGTTACAAGAAAATATTAAAAATAATTTATTTATAATGTACAAATAATAATTCTATCAACACTAAATAATAATAAAAATTTATTTATTTAATAATTTTATTTCTGTGTATTTATTAGTCCTCCAGATGTTAGAATCAACACAGTTACCGAAATAAGTAATTATAATAGATTTAGAACAATACCAAAACTTTAAAAGCTTAGAAAAAAATTTCCATTAAAAACTTGACATTAATTTGGTCCGGATATACAGGATGTCCCACGATGACAGCAGCAAGACGAAATGATGGACGCCTTTGATCTTTGAATTAATATTCTCGTAAGCTTAATTTTATGATTAAAATCCTGGAGTTAAAGATGACGAAATGCCCCTAGTCTTGGCATTTCCAAAATGTGGTCTGCCTTATATGTGCTTATTACCGGAGATATGAAGGATTTCGTTTAAATTTGGTTTTATCTAATAAAATTTAAATCTGAACAAAATTTTTAATATCTCCAGTAATATTTACAGCACAAAAAAAGGCAGATCACAGTTTGGAAATGAAGCCCTTGGAACAGAGTGGTTATCATTTTGAGAATCATAGTACCGAATGTCATAAAATAACTTTAGCGTTCAAAGACGACTTTCAAATCGTCTTGCTACTGTAGTGTTTTCTGAGACACCTTATTTATAAGAACACCACCAAATAGAGAAGAGAAAACTCACAGCAAATACATTGACAAACAGGAATAGATAAAAAGAACTTACATTGATTACACTTGTTGTTGTCACAACACAGTTTTATATTTAAAATCTAACTTAAGCTTCAAATGTAGGCCTGGGCAACTTGCCATTAACGATGAAAACCGTACATTTTTACAACTTTAAAAATCTATTTCAGACCGTATTTCATTGATGGTATTTTAGTTTATGTTGGGCAAAAAAATCAACATCTGTTATCGGAAAGTTGCCAAGGCCTCAAGTCACGTACAGTTCATTAAACAATTAAGTGTCCGTAGGCGAATATAAAATTTAAGGAAGATCCGACAAAAATATTTTAATTTTCATTTTCAAAGCTAATGATATTAGGGATTTGAACCCAACAACTCCAAGCCAACCTGGAGGTACCATTGGCATTATCAAAAAGAAGTTTAAAAAGTAAATTTTTTTCAAGCGATAAAAATACTTACCCTTATCACTCCAGTTTTGATAATTTAAAGGAATCTCTAAATTCTGCTGAAAAATATGAACTCTACCATATGTTGAGTTGAAATTAAAAAGCTTCTCACAATCAGAATAATTTTCACTGTTGTTAAATATACTTTTTAGTCTTAATTTCAAACTATTATCACACAGATCAAACCTGTAGAAGACGTCTTTACGACTTTCAGATTTTAATTTTTCACCATTACAGTGTCTGATAATCTTCGATGATTCCGTATTTTCCTTTTTCTTCTTTTTATATTTGATCCGAGAATCTAACCCAGAATTACTTTTGTATACTTTTCTATTTTCCTCCTGCACAGTGGACACCCGGCCTGCTTCTTCCATAGAATCTTTGCACAGGGGTAACAGCAAATCTAAAATTTAATAATAAATTACTTCAGTATTAAACTCATTGACAATAGTCCATAGGGGTATATACAGGGTGTCCCAAAAAACATGGGAATTCAGTGACGAATTCGATATCGTCTTTGTTATGAATTAGCGTTGTAATACCTAATTTCAAAAGCCTTAATATTATTATGTCTTCTAGAGTTTATTTAAGAAAAGGGTAGAAGACTGCAAAGATGTGTCTATAATGTCTCCGCACGATGAACATTGAATACGGACAAGTTTACTGTGTTTGTATACTGTAATTTTCTTGTTTTACTAAGTACAGCCTGTTGCAGTCAAAACATAAACAAACAAAATGTAAACATAGCAGACGAAACTCTTACAGATTACAGCTTTCTCAGTAGGTATCACTATACTAAATCAAAGAATTATTTGTAAAGACGATATCGAATTCGTCACTGAATTCCCATGTTTTTTGGGACACCCTGTATTTAAAGGGGTGGGGGTTCAGGGGCCACGATATTTGAAAATCTGGAAATATCAGTTTTTACACCTTTTCAAATACTTTATACCACAGTTCTTTAATTTCCCATTCCCCAATACAGCTAAGAAGAAATCTAAAACATCTGGGGGTTGATGGTAGGAATGATTTTTCCATAAAATAAGTATTCCCATACATTTTCTGTTTTTTGCTTGCAATGCAGGAACATGTCCAATCCTGAACCCTGCACAGGAACATCAAATTATGAGGTGAAATAGTGAAAAAAATAAACAAACAGAAAAATTTATTGTAACAACATTTTACAGCTCACTGTGACAAGATCAAGGTTATCTGTTATTACTGTCAGACACTTTATCAAGCAACACAAACTAGGAAAGGTCAGTTCTAAACAATATGGCCACTCTCCTAAAATTTAAACTATTTGCTTGACAGGTTCAGCATATATCAGTTAAATCAAAGATAAGTTTATTAATACTAGTACAGCTTAAGTAAAATTACATTAAATTATGGGATGGATGATGATAGCATTGTCCTCAACTTTCCTTGAAGATTTGTGAAAATCATATTCAAAATTATATTCAGCATATAATTCTAAAAAACAATTTAATTGCTTCAGCCTTCACACTACCCTTATTTTCATATTGCACTTGTCTACAATACACTCACCGAATTTACAGTGGAATTTTTTAGAAATATGACACAATAAGATTTCTGAATAGGATGTGAACCTTTGAATATCAATGTGCTATTCAATCAATTATTAACCTTGGTTATGCAATGTGTAGTACACAACAATCTTGATCTTCCCAGGAGGAGTTCTGTTCCTCATATTATTCTCATTCTCAAAAATCTGAAAAGGAACCAAACATGGAACTCCCAGACTGCCTTCAGAGTGCAATGCACCACAGTGCAGATAGCGGTCTGGAGTTCAAGCCGGGTAGGAGGAAACATTTATAATGCCTGTGCCCCTTTGGTACATCCCGGAGTTTAGCATGTTCTAGATTATTTAATCCTACCTTAGATGAAAACTACGGGTAGGATTTGATTGTCCATTTCTATGCGAGTAATCATTAAACCAAAAGGTTTCGAGTTGCCATCTGCAGTCTGCATGAATTACCTTTAACTGCTGCTGCCTTGATAAGTCTTTTACTACATAGCTTCACCTTAGGTTGTAAAAATTTATGTATTTGCTTGTGTGCACTGGGTTCCATCTGAATCCCTATCCATATTAGAAGTTATTCATAAACCTCAATTATTAGATCTGCGTCATGGCAAATGTCACAGGTTGGCAGGCATGCAAACTTTCCTCATATTTGCAATCTTCCAGTGCATGCCTTCCAAAATGCTTGCAATAAGTCCAGAGCTAGAAGTAAAATATTTTATCAATCCACTACCTTTAACAATCTGCATAAAATTACTAGTTATAAAATGTATTCTTGCTGCATATGATATCTACCAATTAATAAGAGTGTCCATTCAAACAGATGAGCGTCTGAGCTGCAGCTGACCAGCCAAGTTGCTGAGCTTCATGGTAGTTCTAGTATCATGTTGGCAGGCACGCACACTTCACAGATTTTTTATATCCAATTTGCAATCTTCCAGTGTGACCTTCCAAACCTTGCAATAAGTCCAGGGCTAAAAATAGAATCTTTAGCCAATTACTGCCTTTTGTAATCTGCATTAAATTACTGTAAATATATAATCTTCCTGCATAAAAATCTCCCTGAATTGCTACAGTTTCCACGCCATCAGATAAGCTGCTAAGCTGCAGCTGACTAGCTATTTGCTGGGGTGCAATTTTACTTAATATCCAGTTTTAAAAGGTCTCTGAAAATTCAGGTTCTAGATAAGCTTCATGGTAATTGTGGAATCATTTTAGCCGGCATGCACACTTCTCAGAGATTCTTTGTTCAACTTGCAATCCTTAAGTGCATGCCTTCCAATATGCCCTTCCTGAGCCCAGAGCTAGAATTTGAATGCTTGACCGCAATGTTAATTTGTTACCATAGTTCCAAGTCCACAAGAAACCAAGGATTCTGCAGCGGGTTAATTCCCAGGTCTAAATATGACAAAAGTATAGTTTCAACCTTTACAACAAAGATGCAACTGCAAGAAATAAAATTTAATAAAAATTTGTTCGAGTAGTCAGTTTTAAGCAATAAAGATTTTTGATTCCAAAAATTCTAAATAATTTGTGCTTCAGATTTTTGATAGATCTAATTGGGGTAACTCGGTTCCATAAATCTGCAGTTGCAACACTTTTAAACATTGAAAATATTTACCTCTTTCATTGCTAAGATTGGCATATAAAATACCAATTGTTACAATGAGTTTATCATCTTCTTGGTTAATAATAGGTTCGATTAAAAAGATAGTTAAATTCAATTCATATTGTCATTAATTGCGGCACTTAAGTTTCTCACTTCAGGATTTTCCACTTCTGGATTTAGAACAGACACTAACCTGAACCCCCAGAGATGGCTGAGAAAGCATATGAGGGTTAAGGATGGCAGAGAGAGGGTCTGTATTGCTATTTCAATTTACAGCACTGATCCATCTCTCCCCTCCCTTCCCTCCTCATATACAAATGTCTTCCTGGACCAAATTTTTCATATCAGGATTTTCTGAAGATTCTTTTTTAGTCCCAATTCATCTCGTTCCTGTTCGGTTTTAATATTCAAGTTTGTCAAGACTTTGTCTTCATTCTTCCTTCTGATTTTTAAAATGTTGATTCTTTTTCTTGCTTCTATTTTCACTGATGTATATTTAAAACCTTACCATGAAACTAAATTAAGCAGCAACAATATCCTGTAGTTTTGTTTTAGGGTACATAGAACAATAGGATAAGTTTCTGTGCACAATTATTTGTTAAAATTGAGTCATCCATGGACAGTAGAACCCAAAACTGCTCAATTTTGTAAACATTTTTCACCTGTTAAGGAGCTTAAATTTAGAATTCATGGGGAAAAAACACACAAAAAATCTGTATTTTCAGGCATGTATATTGTATATCATAGCTCGTAAATTTTGAATCAACGTAACTAATTCAAATAAAGAGAATTTAAGGTTTTAATCAATGAACAATTAATTAACTGATTTAGATGGTTTCGCAAATTCGAAAGTTACAAGCTTACATCTATACATCTCACTCTCTGTCTACAAAATAAACTTACTCGTCTAATTGTCAAATTAAAGTTGGTTTTAAGTTCCAACAAATAATACATATAATATAAAAAAAGATTATACTAGTTCAGGAAAAACGATGTTGTCAAAAATAAAATAACTTCATGATGGATAGATTGTTATTAATTGTTCCAAGAACACAAATGACAATAAAAAAGGCGTACATTATCTAGGAGAACAAGGCTTTAGAAATAAGTGTATTTATAATACCTGGTGACAAATCCGTCCATGAATGAGTCCAGCATTCTTTGGTCTCACATAGCACAGCAGACATAGGTTGGATACTGCTCCATCCTTTAACTGTAAGTAAATTTCTTAAGTTTAAAACTTTCAAATCTTTTTAGACAGTGCTTAGGCTCCATTTAGTTTTGATGCAGATCCAGATCCGGATCCTGGATCCGCACTGAAAAAAAAAATGGATTCGGATCCAAATCCGAATCCGGATCCAGGTTATTTCTTTAAAATTTACCCACTTTTTTTAACAAACAGAATTTTCATTTTTTTGCTTATTTTTATGCAAAACTTTATAAAGCATTCAGAAATCAGAAAGTTTTAATAATCTCTCATTTTTCAATAGTTCAAATTTGGGTTTTGAGAGTAAACATTTTTTTGCAGTTTTGGGTTGATATTTTACCCCATTGGATCCGGATCCGTGGATCCGCAAATTTTTGCGGATCCGAATCCAGGATCCATCGGATCCGATCCCTAAGCACTGATTTGAGAAGTTTAGCAAATGAATTTTCAATGTATGAGAAATTGGTATGGGTCCATGAAATTTTACATTATCAAATTTTTTATTTCTTATTTGGATTTATTCAACAATATTTACATTACAAGCAAACTGTCCGGCCTTCACGAGGATCTTTAGGTGCATGCAAAGATAATGTAGATATAAATACAGAGTTACCGCATCAGGGCATCTGACATGTGTTTACGTGCTGCAAAATTCATGTAAAATAGCATTTAATGTTTTATTAATATTAAAAATATTTGTATTTCCATAATTACAGTTACTAAGTACAAGCCACGCTCCCCCCCCCCCCCCCCACCCTCGGAACCACTTACCTCACTGTAGAAATATACAACAACCCCAAAATATACACCTCGATTGATTTATTAATTCAAAATATACAGATACATGCAGCTGACTGTTTAGTAAATCTCTATCAGGCTAGATAGGCAGGATGGTCCGTCACTGATCCATTTAAGACTACCTGATCTATGGGTGCAAGCAATAGTAGGGGTTCTACCTGGGCTTTCAATCGGTCTGTAGCAAGGTTGCATTCCTCCACCAAGACTACACTCCCGGTTTCCCTGGAATCCAACAAGTTTTTTGAAAACGTCTTCTCCAACCCATCCTTCACCTTACTAAAATAAGGGTATGTTGCGTTAATCGGATACCAAATAAGCCTTGATTTATGTTTTGTTTTAATTTCTTTCATAGTTAAGTAATTAGTATTCAATTTTATTTCTAAACAGAACTATTTCTAATTCTTTGATAAAATATGTAGTTTTTATTTAAGCTTTTAACAATGAACATATGTTTACTTCATCTAATGCAAACAAAAAATGAATTGCTGATAATGCGTAATATTTCAACTACAGTTGAAATTCAAATATTAAACGCAGTAAATAGAGGTATTTTTCCCCAAGAAAAATAACCAAGCTGTCTGATCAATGCAAACTAACCTTACAACCTCCATCTCTTGGGAATTACATCCAGACTCAACAGTTATACATTCTGTCTGGGAACTACATGCAGAATCGACTGATGTACTATCGGTCTGTGAACTACAGCCTGACTCCACATACGCACTGTCTGTGTCATCTTTTTCCATGATACGCTGGGATCGAGCAACATTGCGCGCACGGTTGGACTTCATGTTTTTTGGCCGGTCAGCTTTCCAGGTTTTCAGCTCTAACCAGCAAGTGCTGCAGTACCTTAGGTTGAACATGGAAGGTCCAATACACCTAAATAGAGATTGTCCAGATCATCTGAACATAGGCCAGCTTTTCAGATATGTTTGCACATGTGGTTATTTCTTAAAGCCCATATCCATATTAAACATTAGAAAGAATCAGTACTTCAGCAATAAGCATTGCATTTTTGATTGATTATAGGATACTCTATATCGATTTCGAATTCTTCATCTTGCAAGTTAGAATCTTTCTGCAACAAATAGCGTTCCGAACAAAATGGGCGGGCTATGAACTTGTGCAGAAGTGCCCTTAAGTTCCTAATCAACTAGACCGATCATATGTCGGGCATTAATTTAATTGTTTATACCTTGCACACTTATTAATTTCTGATTTGAATTTAGCTTTGCTCTTGTCCTCCTTCTCCTCCTCGTTCTCATCATTCTTATACATCTCCTCGTTGTCCGCCCAACAATCCATATCCCCATCATTCACCTCAACCTGCATATTTTACAGGGGTGTTTATTTTCCTAAAACATCATTCCCCCCAGAAGTTATTTATCGTTTTTTTCCTCACTGAGTTGGTAAAATAAATGATTTTTTGGGTAAAAAGTATAAAAAAGAATAAAAAAAACTTGCCTTTTGATGTTTTTATTTTTATTTTTCCCCCACAAATCATCAAAATCTCCCCCCCCCCCACCGGGGGTTATTCTTAAAAAATATATAATACACCCCCTGATTTTTTACAAATTTCAAGAACAAGAACAACTTTTTTAGAAGTTAGTTTTAATTAAAAAAATCTTTATTGCGATGAAAATGTTAAATCAGAAACAGATTTTGACATTCTCAACCAGGTATTATAACCCAGGGTATAGGTTTGTTATTGAAGTATTTATCCTCCCCCCCCCCCTCCCAATAAAGTTAGATCTTTTTCAGGTTTTATTTCCAAATTTGATTTTCTAAGGGGGAGGGGGAAATGAAAGAGAAAAATTTGGGAGAAAACAAAATAATGATTCACTCTCAAAGCTTCCAATATACAGTTTAACCCAGAACTTTGGAGACGTCCAAATTTATTTAAAAAGGTCGTTTTCTTAACTTACTGATAATGAAATACTGCAGATATTTAGTTATTTTAATTAACCAATTATATTGAGCTCTTTAAAACTGTTCCCGCATATCCAATATTCGTGGCTATTTATTTTTACATTTACTGAGATTCCGGTATTACTATCAAAACCAATTGGAAAATTGTCAAAAAGACATTTTATAATTTCTTTCGATCTCTCCAAAGTACTGGGTTGAACTGTTTAATAGACCCAGGACAAAAAATATATCGAACCTTGTGGGCAACAAAGCTGGTGTTGATATCAGAATCCTCTCCACTACTATACTTACTGTTATCATCCTAAATAAGAAAAAAAAAAATTTAAAAATTAACGTGTATTTCTTCAATTCTTGAATTCCCCTGTAATTTCTTACTAACAATCAGCAATTACCTAATGTTCAGACCTAGATATTGATCATGCCTTGATCCTATACCTAGATATTGATCATCCTATACCTAGATATTGACCATGTGTCCAACTTTAACCCTAGATATTGTTCATGAGTCCAAATTTAACCCTGGATATTGTTCAAGTGTCCAACATTAACCCTAGATTTTGTTCATGTGTTCAAATTTAGCCCTGGATATTGTTCATGTGTCCAACATAAGCCCTAGATATTGTTCATGTGTCCCATTTTATTCCTGGATATTGTTCATGTTTCCAAAATTAACCCTAGATATTGTTTATGTGTTCAAGTTTAACCCTAGATATTGTTCATGTGTCCAACATTAACCCTAGATATTGTTCATTTGTCCAATTTTATTCCTGGATATTGTTCATGTTTCCAACTTTAACTCTGGATATTTCTTTGCGTCCAACCCTATACCTAGATATTGTTCATGTTTCCAACTTTAACTCTGGATATTTCTTTGCGTCCAACCCTATACCTAGATATTGTTCATGTGTCCAACATTAACCCTAGATATTGATTATGTCACCAACCCAATACTTGGATATAATTCATATTTCCAAGTCCAACCCTATCCGTAGCTATTCTTTAATTAGATATCTGCTATTCCTGGATACTATTCGTGTCTCCAATCCTATCTGGATATTTTTCATGTGTACAAACCTATACCTGTATATATTTTCATGTGTACAAACCTATACCTGTCAAGCCCTAAACATTGACATTTATCATGTGTCCAGCCCTATAACTAGAGATTTGTCTTGTTTCCAGCCCTATACCTGGACATTTGTCATGCGTCCAACCCTATTCCTGGACATTTATCATATGTCCAAACCTTTACCTGGAAATTTGTCATGTGTCCAGCCCTGTATCTGGACATTTGTCCAGTGCTTAGGATCCATTTAAATTTGATGCGGATCCGGATCCTAGAACCGCATTGGAAAAAAATGGATCTGGATCCGGATCCGGATCCAGGTCATTTCTTTAAGATTTACTGAATTTTTTTAACAAAAAATAATTTTCAAAGTTTTTGTTTTATTTTTTTCGCTTATCTTTATCCTAAAACTTGATGAACCATTCAGAAATGAGGAAATTTTTATAATCTCTCTTTTTTCAAAAGTTCAGATTTGGGTTTAAGGTGTAAAAAAGTTTTTTTTGTAGTTTTTGGTTGATATTTTACCCCCGTGGATCCGCATATTTTTGCGGATCCGGATCCAGGAAGCCAAAATCTTGCGGATCCAATGGATCCGGATCCTAAGCAATGCATTTATCATGTGTCCAACCCTATACCTGGACATTTATCATGTGGTCAGTCCTATTCCTGGACATTTATCATGTGTCCAACCTATACCTGGACATATGTCCGACCCTATACCTGAACGTGATCTATATGTAATGTATACCTGGAGAGGTCTGGTCTCCTCGTCTCCTGTTTCAATCTCGTATTCCACATCAAAATTATCATCCCCTGATTCTACTTCAGACCCTGTATCAGCTGTATCACTACAAAGAACAGAGTTATAAACAAGAATAACTTAGTAATATTTTTTCAACAAAATTCCCTTGCAATTAGCTGTTTAAAAAGTTTTTATTCAAAATATTTTACCTTTCAATTTTTGCCTGTTTAGCTGGGCTAGAAACCTCATCAGGTGAAGATCTCTTTAGCTGGTTGCAATAATTCGCAATCAATCTACAAAATCAAAAAGTTAAAAATTTGTAAAGATTAGTGTCAATTCAAACATTTCACCAAATTAGAGAAATTTTCCTGCTTTTTTTTGAAGCCATAATATCAATATTTCTCTCCATTTAAGCAAAAAAGAAGAAAAAAATTTAGACTCTGTGACATTCAAGATGGGGGGTGGGGGATGGATGAATTCTTTTGAGATCCCTTTAAAGTTTTTAGTTGACTTACTCAGCAGGTGATGAGGCTGCCCTGTTAAGAGCTGGAAATCCAGAGAGAGTAATTCCACTAAAATAAATTAGAAATATAAAGATGAATCTTTGAATCGTTGAATCATTGAATCGTTATTTCGTTAAGATTATTTGTTGAAATATTGATCTATTACTTCAAAAAAGTAATTATCTTTTACAATTTGCAAAAATCGCGATTTTTTATAAAAGTTTTTATAAAATTTTACAATTATCAAATGAAATAAATACCTATCACGAGAATTCCCATATTCTTCCGGAAACTTCTTAGGATCAACATAAGTCAGCTGACTACGTATCAGAGTTCTACAAATATAATTTTTCAATTTTAATCCCATCTGCGATTCAGATCTACTCTTGAAACCATTTCTATAGGGCACTACTGAGGCCGAATTTAAAGAATTTGAGCCGCGACCTAAATTTTAGACGAGGCTTAATTATGGTTGTTTCCATTTAAAGTTGTATTCAATCTTTCAAGATTCAAGAGGGCACTCAATTGAAACCAGTTTTTGGTGGATATGAGACGCGGCTCAAATTTATTAAATTCGGACACTTGACTATATTTGTCAAAAAACTGTTAGCATCTTACTATAGTTCTGAGCAGAAGGCCCAAGCCCTAGCAATCATAGTTCATTTGACGCGTTCCCATCTTAATATATATTTATGCATAAATATTTATACAGGGTGAGTAAAAATCAGGGATTATCAATGTTTTGTACAAAATTTTCAAAAATTTGATTTTGTTCGGATTTTAGGCATTAATAATAAGAAAGTGAAAAAAAATTCCAAAATATTTTTGGAGCATTGAAAAAAAAATCCGCGAAACCAATTTTTATTTGAAAAATTAGACTTTTTGAAAAAGTTGTTGGGAAATGTTTATTTTATTGTTTTCTAAAATTTTTAAAAAATTCATCAACAATTGCAATAACAGTTCTATGGTTTTAATTTGAAAACATTTACTGCCGATTTCCAGTCTAAATTTTTGTGGTTTTCATTTTAGATCTCATTCAATTTTTAATAAATTTTCACAACAATTTTTTTTAAAAAGTTAATTTTTTTTCAAACAAAAATTGGTTTCGCGGAATTTTTTAATGTTTCAAAAATAGTTTTGAATTTTTTTTATCACATTTTATTTTAGTTATGCCTGAAATCCGAACAAAATAAGAATTTTAAAAATTTTGTCCAAAACCTCGATAATCCCTGTTTTTTTTACTCACTATATATATATAAAAAAAACAAGGAGTATCGATTCAAATTCAAATTCAAAGATATATGTGATATATATATTTAAACTATAATTGCTAAGGCTCGGTCCTTCTGCTCGGAAATACCAAGCCTTGTTAGGACGTCTCTCCTTCCTATAAAAATTGTAAGAATAAAATGTAAAAAGCACTATATACTAATTTTAGTCTCACTGTACAGGGGCGGATACAGTAGTTTGCGAGGGGTGAGCCAACTTAGAATTTCTCTCCATTTTCTCTAGCTCTTCCCAATACTTTAGGGGGGAGAAATTTTCCAATGCACACGTGGGATCTTCAGGAAAAGAACGAGATTGAAAACAAAGAACTGGCAAGAAAACAAAGAAATGAATTTTAAGTTTAAAATACTAAAAGAAAACATTTAAACATGTCATCGTCTGATAAAAAAGGACCCAGGACCCAGACCGCCATCGGGCGAGCACCCGGCCCCCCAGGCCATCCGCAGATGAGGTATCACCCGGGGGCAGGCAGAACCGAAGTCCAGAAGTATACCCTACCACACCATACTTTGTCTGTCAATCTGTTTGTATCCAATAAACGTCAAACTGCAAAACAGATCGGACCCAATTTTTTTGTGGTAACTCACATTACCCCAGGGAAGGTTTATGAATAATCAAAATTTCAAAACTTAGCCTCCAACAAATTCTATGTTCATTAAATTTTGAAAATCCACGAAATTTTTAAAAATAAAATCTGCTCCTTTTTGGTCGTTTTTGTTTTACACTTGAAATAGAAGATGGGCGCAAAGCCTAGTAACTTATACTTACGTGACTTGAGTTCGATGGAAAGCGTGAACTTTAAATGCTTCTCCGAGAGGATCATTTTGAACGATGGCTAGCTTTATGTTTCGAGCATCAAACAGTTGAGATTTCCGGCTTAAAATATACTTCGAGACATACGCAGTTACCTACAAAAAATGTTAATAATGTTGTAGCTTTTAATAATAGCGTTTATGGACACGCAAATTATTATTATTATAAAGATTTATTCACACACAAAGATATAAATACATATATAAATGGTGTAGTTTAAATTTGTCTAAATATTTTTTTTTTAAATACAGGTTTCCAAAAGAAAAGAGAAAAATATGCAAAATTATGCACAAATAGACAACATTGATCATTACTCATTAGTGACATTACATAACATATTTATCATTTCAGTTATTACGTAATCATCGAATCCTTTTAAAAGTTCTTGTAAAACCGGAACTTTCCATGCATGTTCCAATGGGACATCAAAATATTTCATTTGTTTCTTAACTAACATTTTACTAAGATCCGAAGGATTTACAGAACAATCATTTGCAATAGAAAATAAATTTCTGCCAATTAATTCATGATAATGGAATATTTTTAATGGAAGTATGCAATTAACGTTAATGTTAATGTAAAATTTTACTCGACACCCATCCTCGCCTCCCTCTTAACTTTTCGTATTTAAACATTGTGAATCCCTGTTTTCCTATTCCTTCGTATCAGCTAGTCACCCAGGTGTTACAAAAGGGGAATCCCACCAAGAAGACCGTGTTTAAAGGAAGCAAAGGGAAATACGAATTTTATCATTCAAACCGGCGAGAGGGGAGAGGGGGGGGGGGACGTTTCTCACCGAAGAGAGGCAATTGCAAACTGGTAGACTTATTCTTTTAGTTTTTGCCATCTTAACCTTCGAAAGAGTTTGTCGAAAAGTAAGATACAAGATATCTTAAATATTCCCTTTTTAAAACATTTTTAGGAAAGTGGCAGAAATATGATAGCTTTAGAACCTTTTGGTATTTCACCAGTAGGAATGGGTAGCATTAAAAATAAGAAAGAACGGCAGAATAAAAATAATACGGTCAGATACATAATTTAAAGTTTCAAGCTCAATTACCTCAGAATATGTGAAGGATTTTTTGGTTTCATCAAAATCTTCCAAAGTTTTCAGAACAGAGTAAAATTTTTCTTTCAGCCAAAACCTGAAGTACAATTTAATGGATAAATTAACCAAAATGGAAGAATGATGAATGGGGTACAGTATAAATTTGTGCTTAGGATCCATTTTAGTATGATGCGGGCATCTGAATCCTTTATAAAATTAATTTCAGCTCAGGAATGTTTCTGAACTTTTTTTGCAAAAAATTTCTACTTCTGTTTGTAATTTTTTAGCAGAAGCTAAGGTTGCTTTCAATTCAATTCTAAGTTTTTTTATAGATATCTCACTTGGATCCGGATCTATATATTTTTGTTAAAAAATGTAAAAAAAATGCTTTATATTTTATATCTAGTCTCAATAACATTTTTAGAAACTAAGTAGTATAACTGGTTTTATGTATTCAAAGACACTTGAAGCTAATAGACCAATCTTTAAATGCATCTGAGGGTATTATCGGATAATGATCAAATTCAGACCATTTGTATCTGAAACTGAAACGCCATATTTAAGAAGATTTATAAAGAAAATCTGATAAGATATCAGAATAGCCACTAAAGTCTAAAAATCAGACAAGTGAAATAAGATCTAACAACCAGACCAGTATAATATAACCTGATTACAAGACAAGCTACAAAAATCTGATTATCAGACAAGTAAAATATAACCTGTTTACAAGACAAGCTGAAAAAATCTGATTATCAGAAAAGCTACTATAAGTATCTAACCTTGATGTAGAATCTTCCCAAACTTCAGGACTGGGTTGAGGTCGGGCATTAGGAGGGGGCACAATCTCAACTGAAATAATTTTGATTAATATTTATCAATTTTTTTTTAGATTGAAGAAACAGAAAACAATCACAAAGGAGTATTTATTTTGTTAAAAAACATTCCTTTGAGCTCCCTTATGAAGGGGTTTTAATACAGAAAAAAGAAAAAAATATTTGTAGAGGATGATATCAAGAAGTAGTTGAACTAATACATACCCCAGGAATTATTCTAGGATAACCCTTACCTTGTCTGGAGGGAGGAGGGGGTTGTTGAGTAACTGTTTTAGATCGAGGATCAGTCATTGTTAATCGACTTCGATGCTTTGTGTTTGGGACTCGAACTTCCATGGTAGGTGGGGGAGTGGGAACCTGTAAAGAAATTGTCAAATTGATTTGGCCTCATCTACTTGTTTCAGTTGTAAAAACCAAATCTAAGCCGGAAAAACAGGATTTACTTGAATTCAACTTTAAAACAAGCATAATTATACTACAAATTCTATTAATATGACAAAATGATCTAATCGTTAAAAAAGAACAATTGTAGACTATATTTACAAAGTTCTTTTTTTACCTGGACCGGAGGGAAAACGGCGCCATTTTCTCCCGGATCAGATCTTTCTTCGACTAGAATCAGCTGACGCATTATCAGCTCCCTATATTATACATTTATCAAGATTTTAAACAAAAAAGATTTTTAAAAACAGTTGTTGTAATTCTACGAGTCCCTGCTTTTCAAGAGGGTCCGATTCAAAATTGAATACCAATGAAACATCAAGATAAAATCGTCTTAAAAACGAGATTAAAAAGTGTTTAATTCTGTTAACTAAAGGTAGAGAAACCACAAATGAAAATGATCAGTTTACAAAAACAAAAACATGGATATGTAACAGACTAGGCTAAGTGTGAATCGGACACACCATATGAATGGTGCCTTGAAATTACCTTTACACAGTTCACCTGTTAAAGGTTATTCCAAACTATACAAATGACGCAACATAAAATATATTTTTTAAACCTTAGACTGCAATTATAAATAATTCAATAATCGTCGCCAAAAAATAAATATTATAATTGAATATTTATCCTACGGATCCCAGCGTTTGATAATGCAAGCAAAATTAGCACAAACAATCTTGATTGATGCAACAAGCTGCTATGCTATCTCTGCCACAGATGTTTTTTTCGTTTTATAAACCCTCTAGACGTGTTCCTAAATCCTGATAAAGGTTTGTCTACAATGATCTTCTACCCTTCTAATTAATTATACACCAAAAAAATTGTATACAAGAACTTTTTAATTACTCCCCTCTCCCTTTTTTTCCCGATTCTCCAGTAGTCCCCCCCCCTCTCTAAAATATTCGCAACCGAGATCTTATTTATATGACGCGAAGCGCTAAAAACATACCTTCAATAAAAATCGAAATCTTTAAAGAAATCATATATTTTAAGTCTTCATATTAATCTGGTATAAAAGTGAACAATTTTAATGAATTCAAGAACTAAAATGAAATGGTGAATGAAACCCATTTTTCCTGTATGCATTAAAACTTTCTGAGATTTCTATTTTGCAAAAATAAAAATTGTAATGAGAAAATACTTGGTTAACAAAATTTAACATCCATCCCTTTGCTCNACCTCCTTCACTCCTAAATTTACCCCTTACCTCTCACAACTTTATCATCCTGGCCCCACCTGATCTCTGTGACGTGGAGCGCCTTCATGTTGAGGGCCTCCTCCAGAAGAGGGCAGCACATTATAACAGAGGGATTCCATTCATCAAACATTCGTCTTGACTTGATCAGTTCTTTGAGCTCGAGCAGGATCTAGGATAGGACAGATAAGGTTCGGAGTTCGTCAATTCTACTCGATGTTAGGTATGTTCCCCAAGGCGACTTCCCAAGTGACAATTTCCCAAGTTATAACCTCCCAAAAGGCAACTATCCAAAGGCTAGTTTAGGCCTTCTGAGGACCGTTGGCTGCAATGGGGGCCGAGCGCTCCGCCTAGGATAGGATATGGGGCCGAGCGCTGTGGCTAGAACAGCCTTTGGAAAATGCCTTTGGGAAAGTACCTAACACCAAATCGCACTATTTCACAATAAGCTCTAAAAGATTTTTTTTTGGGTGAAAGTATCTAATTGAAGTTTTTCTGGGGGCCCCCATTTTCGAACTTTTGGGGGAGAGGGGAGGGGGTTATGATTTAAAAATATACACTGAATTAAACCAACACTAAATTGAATTTTGTTAAGAAAATATGTTTTTTTTCCGTTTGCCTATTTTATAATGACAATTTTTTATTTTAGTAAACTTTTGATTAGTTTGTCATTAAAAACAAAATGGATATAAAAAAAGGAAGCTGATAATGGATTAAAGAATGACATACCTCAGCAAGTGTATATAATTCCTGATGTCTGGTTGTATGCTCCATTATATATTGTAACAGCTTGGATCCCTGCTTGAACCTGTACTTGGAGTAGAGCATCCTCTTGTTCTCATCCTGGCTCTGGGCTGGAGTAAGGGTCTGACTAGGTTGAGTGGGTTGGGGGAGAGGCTGACTAAGTTGAGTTGGTTGTGAGATAAGTTGACTAGGTTGATTGGGTTGATGGACTTCTTCGGTACTTTTAGTTGACGAAACATGTTCACTATTTATTGACTTCGTTTGGTCCGATAAACGTCTATGGCGGTCTATTTTTGGACGGTCTGCTTCCGTGCAAGTATCCGAGTTATCAAGTCCCATTATGAAAATTTATAATTTAGGATAAATTGAACGAATAAAAGATTTGCTCAATTCGTCGTTCGTCGTCGTCGTTGTTGACAAAAAACCTCAACGAAATACATAGGATTATAAGAGTCTTCCAAGTTCAGAGAAACCATACTACCTAAAAATTATTATGCAAACTACTGATAAATATGCTCAGTGAAATCTATGATTTTAAGGGGATTTTTGCNAGTAAAAAATTTTATTAGTAATTTTTAAGTGTATTTAATAGGAAAAAAATAAATTTACCACAAAAATTCGAAGTCTGTATCCTAGAAAAAGTCGCCATTCTTATTGTTAACAGTAACACACACTCTAAAATCTAAAATATTATTATTTAAAAGCTAATAGAGCTCATTGATTTAAAGTTTTAACTAACATTAACTGCCTTAAAAGGAAATAAAAACTATTGACCGTCAAAGAAATTTACTAATTTTATCAGCTCTAACAAAATTTAGAGATTATGAACTTTTAAAAATAAAAATGTAGGATTGACACCGACAATATATTTTAGAGATTGAAAAATTTTTACAATACAAAAAAAGCTTCACAGAACAAAAATAACTCGAAAATTTCCTAGAGAAAGATTTTTGGCCCCCCGGCCCCCCTCTTATCAAATTTGTACATGAATCTCATTTTTAACAAAAGGATTAGGTTGGTCATGTGGCCGCAGCACCCGGCCCCCTACCCTGTCCTAGCCGCGGCGCTCGGTCCCATAGCCTGTCCTAGCCGCGGAGCTCGGCCCAGAAATTGGCCTAATCTAACCTAACCCAGAAAAATAAATATTTTTTGGTTGAAAATAGTTGAAATCAAGTACAAAATTAACAGGGGGGGGGGGGGGGGGGGGTCCAAAATCGTATAATACCGGACCCAATTATATTTCTTGTCGACATAAAACCGACAAAAAAGCACAATCTTTCCCCCCTGTAAAACACTAAAAAAAATATTGTTGCGTAAGAATCAAAAGTTAGAAATGAAGAAACAAATTGTTAACGTCTTTAAATGTACTTTGAAATCACTTTGAACGTACTTTGTGAAACAACTTTCGTTTAAACATTATTTCAACACAAAATTAGGAAAAAAAATTCTAAATCCTTTCGAGCCTAGATTGAACAGCTGATTAGTCATAAATGAAGCTAAAATTTGAACAAACAGAACTTATATTTGTATGTGAAATTTCCAAACGTTAACACAGCCAAAGGTGGCAGACGGTTCGACGGCTTTATTTTGTATTTCACAATGTTCTAGAAATAAGACTTATAAAACTCCCGATTTGCACTTTCATGATTTGTCTGCTCTGCTCTGCGCAGACGCAGTTTAGTAAAACGGCTGTTGTATATTCTGAATCCATTTCAATCGGTCGGGACTGGCTGCGCAGAGTCAAGGATTCTACTCAGTTCTAAAGAGAGGAAAGCTACCTGACTCCAGGATTGAATGAAACCCGCTTCGTGCTAGAATAAACTAGAATATCGGAGCTGCATTCGGATTGGCGTTTATAGGGTGGTTCACATTTTCAGATCTGTTCAGAGAACTTAATATTTGAACTTTCTGAATCGGGAGTTTATAGCAGCAAGTTTTAGAATTTGAATGATAGTGCGGTGGATTTCGTGGATTTACTGGCGGCAGCGGACGGACTAGACGGACAGATTGAAATAGAAAGATAATTCTGAGACTGCAGCAACTGATAGGAAATAGGAAGAATGGGAGCTGTCCGCTTAGCCTTAAACGTGGAGACGGAGTTTCTGTTTACTCTTATGATTTATATTTAAAGAGATTTAACAACGTACAAATGTCAAATTATGCTTAAATATTCGAGGGTGCTTAAGATTAGAGATCGCCATAAATTAATTAGATTATAATGTCTGCAGCGCAGCTCTTGCTTTAAGCAAAAATTTTTAAATCTTATCCTAAAATGGGGGACATGGAAACGCCTCAACACGGAAACGACTCAGTACACGGAAACGGATCAAAAATACGCGGAAACCCCTCAAAAACCGGTTTTTTGAGGCATTTCCGCGATTTCTTCAAATTTTTCGGAAATCCCTCTAAATTCAAATTTTGAGGAGTTTCCTCTTTTTTTTGATCGATTTCCCAGAAAATTGTATATCCGTTTCCCCTTTATTTTATTCAAATATTTTAGAGGGATTTCCCAATATTTTTGAGGGGATTCCCAATATTTTTGGTCTGTTTCCTCATATTTATGATCCGTTTCCGCTTTTTTTAAAAACTTTAAAATTGCAGATCTGTTTCCCCATATTTTTGATCGGTTTCCTCAAATTTTTGATCCGTTACAAAAATTTGAGGAAACCGATCAACAAATTGAGATTTTTAAAGTTTTTGAAAAAAGCGGAAACGGATCAAAAAAAAACGGAAACGGATCAAAAATTTGAGGAAACCGATCAAAAATATGGGGAAACAGATCAATTTTAATTGGTAGCTGAGTTTAAAACATTTCTTTCAAAGAAAGGAATTGAGTCTTTGTCACAAACTCTGATTTTCTAATCTCTAGTATCTTACCAACCCAGTGTTGTTGACCTTAGATATTTCAAACTTTTAATTCTGTTAAATGGAAAAATCTAAGTTTAAAATATCAATGGTTTACACCATCAGGTTCCGAAGATAAAGGGATAAGAAAATTTGAGTTTGTGACAAAGACTCAATTCCTTTCCAGTATTATACATTTACAAGCCTTCCCCCTTTCCATCATAGCATATCTAGAATATCAGAGCTTGGGTACATAAGTATGGCAATTGAGTAATGAGATATGACCCTCTCCCTCAGGGGCGGATTAGAGGGGGAAGGGAGGGGAATGGGCCTAAGGGCCACACCCGGAGCCCCAGGAGGTGGGGGCCGGCCCCCACTAAGGAAATTTATTATATGAAATAAAAGCATCAAGAGATGAAAGTCACACTGAAAAAAGAATTGAATAAATGACCTGAATCAGGGTTGGACTAAACCAATATCTCAGGGGGGGGGGCCAATATTTTTGGCCCCCTCCCCCCCATAACAATTGAACAAAAAGCAGTAAATTTCCAATTTCTTAGTTGTTATCACATTTAGACATTATACATATCAAAAATGAAACATTTTTATTGAGATAGATTAAGCATAAGTATGTCGCAAATATTGTAGCAAACCCTATATTTGTAAACCTGAACATACCTAGATATATTATGTTGAACATTACTATAAATCTAAATGCGCTTGTAAAAAGCTACACAAGATTTGTATTGCGATGAACCTAACCAAGCTACATCTGTCAATAGCTAGGTCAAACCTGTATTTTGATTAGCTTAACTATGCTTGTACATAACGTCATAGAACTTGTAACTACGTTGATTTGTAATAAAAACCGTGTCTGATCCCATTGCTGTACATCTGAACATACTTCGATAAATTAAGCTGTACATTGTCTGTGAATCCAAATGCGTTTATCCTTAACGACGCAAAACTTGTAATGCGATTAGACTAGCTACGTATTGTGATCCACTTAACTACAGTATATATATCTGTGCAAATCCTGTAGATACATATATTAACTTAAATGCAACATAGATTTCTAAATACACATCAGTTGTAAAATACACCGCTTTGATTACAGTGAGAGAGTAATTTGTTCCTTATTTAACGAACAAGCTAAAGAGATCTTACCCATTAGTTTGGCATTGATAGTTTACAAGCTTGTGTCCACGTTGACATTAAAGCCTATGAGATCTTGCTCGTGATTGGCATTGATAGTTTACAAGTTGTACCTGGATTGACACAGATCTGAAAGCAGTTTTAGGGGTAGGGGATTTACTACAGATTAATTCAACTTGTTGCACAGAACCCCAAATTTGTTCAGTTGTAGCCATATTCTGTTTGTTTTACGGTGTCAGAGAAAATATATTCCTTGAAAACCAACGAGAGGGTTTCAGTGTATCTGGTACGATCATATATACCAAAGAATACAGATAAATGTCCGGATTGACATTGATATTGAAGTATTGTTGAACTGACTAGTTCTTATGCCTCGCCAATCATAGCGAGAGGGATTGAGTATTGATACAGATAAAGCCATGGCTGGATAGTAAAGTATTGTTGAAAACTGAGTCCTTATATGCCTCGTAGACCAACGAGAGGGATTAAGTTGTACCTGGATTAATACGGGTCTGAATTGGCAGTTTTAGGAGTAGGGCATTAAATACAAGTATCTTATCGGTAAATAAGAAATAAACAATTAAGTTGCTGTCTGCAATTCATAATTTGAATAGGAATTTAAAATGTTTACCAATTATAACGAATTTTCCATAATAAACAATAAGGAACATTTTAGTATTTTTAACATTTTTACATATCTAATCAAAGGTAATGATGTTGGTGATTATCTATACTTTTTTGAGCGCTTACTAATAATTTAATAATTCCTTTTAATTAAAGGTATAATAAATTTTTACGGTAATAACCAGAAAGCTCAGAAATAGGAAGACGACTTTTAAAACTCAAGTTAGGCCAATTAAACTAGTTCACTGGACAACGAACATCAGAAATTGTACAGTGTAAATAAACCCTTTTCACTTAAATTGTGCTTTGCTAAGCTACTAGTAAAAATATTTGCTTTGTAGGTAACAACATCAAGCAGCTTAAATATTGCTATAATTTCGTCTTGCTATTCCAACGTTTTCTGGTTATCACTGTATAGAGAAAACAATTTTTAAAGGTATTTCAGTTCACGTCATTTATTCATAACTATTTTCGTTGTATCTCTCGTCCCTTGATGCTTTTATTATCTATATGTAAAATAAAGTTGTTATCTCTGTTTGGGTGTCTGTTTGTCCATTTTTGCCTCAATTTTGATTGGGGAACTCGGAAGACCCGTGGGAATGTTTTTAGCTTGGTTTTGAGATTCTAAGTTGAGTGGGTCCACTTTTATAACGAAAATTTAGTTCCTCGGTAAAATCGTTCAAGTCCGGGTAAACGGCGGTAGTAACTTGCAGTAATTCCCTGGCAGCGTTGGGTTTCCAAGCTAGTATTATACAGGGTGTCCCAAAAAACATGGGAATTCAGTGACGAATTTGATATCGTCTTTGTTATGAATTAGCATTGTAATACCTAATTTCAAAAGCCATAATATTATTATGTCTGCTAGAGTTTATTTAATGAAAAGGG